TACAAGCCGCAGCAGGCAAGGACCACATATCGTCCAACCGTCCAAGACTGAAATTACCTTCCTGCACAAGGCACACATATTACTATTTACTACACCACGGTCATCTATCACGGCAAAGGTAATGCAGGGATCTATGCTTTTCTATTAAATCTATACACTATTCAACGGAAATAATTTCATGAAAGRAAAATGTTTACGCGTCATACAAGGAGACTACTATATATTATAATATGAATACTTAATTTTTACTCAAAAATGTATGTTTGGACCGTGGTATCGATTTCAATGTCTGGTTGTACAGAGCATTGGCGCACAGAGGTATTTTAAGAWCATATGCAGTTAAAAAAAGTTAGCCACCCACCCTGCAATTTTTTATTTATAACAAATATTTTCACTTATTATTCACTGTAATTGAAAGAAATCAATTAGTATAGACTATAGTTTATGTTATAATTTTTTTAATTTCCCTGTGAAACCTGCAGTAGTATACAACCACCCCCCTCGAGAACACGTCATGCAGTTGCATACCTTGCTAACCTGTCTGGGCGCCACTGGCACAGAGGATACTCTCAGGACTTTTGTGGATTTCCCTTTACCACCCGGCACTTATGGGATTTCTATTTTACCAGCCTCTGGATTGGAAAAGATCGCTTTCCAAGTTTCCTGCAACGATTGAACCGTTTTCGTATGGTAAACTTTCGGTGCAGGCGTGACAAAAAATGTTTATTCTACCATGATGTAGAACTTTGCTCGCCRCAATTTATTTTGAAAAATTGGKTTTTTAGGACTCTAAAACTCCTGCTRTAACTATTAAATCCTAGTTACRCCCATTTATGAGCCTATAACCTCTCCTGGAAAGGAAGGAACTAGGGGAAGRAGAAGGGGGTTTGATCCCTTCRGGGTCGTGGGGGGACAAGCATCCCTGCACCTCGGGAAGACGRATTGCCTAACGAATAAACTTATTGACCTTGTTAATGTAAGTAACACAAGTGTAGTAGARCTCTTCGCTTACTGACTCTGCAGATATAATACCATATGGTAGCCAAACTCAAGGGATGCGCTTCGCCTATCGGCTCCAGGTGGTTGACTACTAAAGACCGAACA